TTGACCCCTGAGATATTTAAGGATGGTGGTCCGGTTTTAAGAGCTAGATTGACCAGGATCTAGGTTAGAATCTGGGAACTGCACGTAATCCCATCCGACTTGTCTCAATCCTTGATTGTCGCAATCTATAAGAAAGGACAAAAGTCTTGTGACAATCACAGGGGAATAAATCTAACTAATATTGTTTCTAAATTGTTAGCCTCGATTATACTTAGACGCCTAACTAGAGCTCTTGAAGAGCAGACTAGAGAAAACCAGTCTGGTTTTCGACCTGGACGCGGCTGTATACACCACATCTTCACACTAAGACAGGTCCTGGAGCACAGACACACACCTAGGCGTCCGACAATAGTTGTTTTCATGGACCTTAAGGCGGCTTATGACTGTCGATCGTGAGGTTCTGTGACAGTGTCTGTCATTTAAAGGTGTACCAAAGAAGTACATTAACTTTATACAAGCTCTCTACTCGAGCACCATTGGTCGAGTAAGAGCTTATGGCGAACTGTCTTCGGAATTCTTTACTTCAAGAGGTGTGCGTCAGGCATGACCACTTTCCCCATTCTTGTTTAATTTTATCATAGACATGCTCCTAGAAATAACCTTATCTTCGTCTGAATTTTCAGGAGTAGACCTTTTACCAGGTGGCTCACTTATTGACTTAGAATATGCCGATGACATTGTCCTACTTGATGAAGACGCTGACAAAATACAGAGTCTTCTGACCACCCTAAGCAACAATGCAAGCATGATCGGGATGCGGTTTTCCCCCGTCGAAATGCAAAATGTTGCTTCACGATTGGGTTTCATCGGCACCTGAACTAGTGATAGGGAGCGAATTAGTCGGGCGTGTCGACCTTTTTACTTATCTGAGGAGTCTCATCAGTGCTGATAGCTTGGTAACTCACGAAATCTCAGCACGGAGTCAGAAACTTCGATTGGCTTTTGCCGATTTACGTCATTTTTGGCGTAGGTGAGATATCCATTTGCTGACTAACGGATTAGTGTACTGTGTAGCAATTCACTACGTTCTCTTACATGGAACCAAAACATGACCGGTACGATTATAGATGTCTTAGAAGCATTGCTACAGTATCCCAAGACAAAGTGAATTATACTCCTTGAATATTATCGTCAATTCCTAATTCTCGTCATAACCGCTAATAACTTATACTATCGTTATCATTATTGAATTTGAACTGACAGTATCCTGTCTCTGTGTTAATGCATGCATGCAGTATAGCAATCAGAACTGATGTACGTACATACAAAGTTCTACGCTGTAACTGATATGATAATTGATATGATGGTAAGATATAGATAAAGACGAATAACGTGATTATCAGATTGTATGTTTGCGGAAAAAAAAATTTTAATACACTTACTTACACACTAGTTGTTTGTTTCTCTCTTCTGTTGTTGTTGTTGTCGATTTCATTGTTACAAAGTATCATCATCAACATCTTCATCATCAATATCTGCATTCAATACAACATTATGATAATTGTATGTAGTAGTTGTGACACAATGAGTTGATGATGTCGTTGATGTTGTTGTATTCATGTAATCCATCAACAGATTATCATCATCATCAAGTAATTCACCACCTCTATGTATAATATGATTTTGTTCATCTTCCTCGGCATCACCGACATCATCATCATCATCTCCATTATTATTATTATTATTATTCCCATCATTGACAATTCCATCTACTAAATTATCTAAATCATCTGTTATATCATTCATATTGCAATGATAATTATTTTCATTATGTATTGTTGTGATATTATGAAAATGTTGTGTAACAACAATAGAATCTGAAATATCATTAACAGCATCAGCATCAGCGTCAGCATCATCATCAACAAAAACATGAGCAACACTTTCAGTTTGTTCATCATCATCATCATCAGCAGCAGCATCAGCATCATCATCGGAATCCGATAGTAAGAGTTCTGCAGTTAAATCATCTTTACAATTATCAATATTGTCATAATCTGAAATAAGATTGATAGAACTTGTAGTAGTAGGAATAATTTTATCATTGAGATTATTCGTTGTAGACTTTTCTTTAGGATATACACTTTCTGAAGTCAATTGATCAGTAGTCTAAAGAATAGACGAAGGCATAAAAAGACGTAGAAGAAAGAATAATCATATCTTAGTTGGAAAACGACAATGAGGAAAAGAGGTTCTGGCGACACGACATGCTATTTCGAATCTGTGTGTCCCGAAACCCTATTTATTAAAAGATTTGATTTAATGTGAAGTAGAACCTGTGTTTTACAAACATTCAGAAGTATGAGGACTGAGTCCAGTAGAGAATCAGGATCCTAGCTTGGGTATCCGGGTCAGGGTCATAAAACTTTATAGATAATGCGTATTTATACAGTTTGGTCGAATAGGAACCAACAGTTAGGAAGACCATAAGATTAACCAGTAGGAATCGAACAACAGAACTAGACTTACAAATAATTCTCTTAGAATATTGGATGAATATCCTAACAAGAATAAATTAGTTCAAAAAATGCTAAGGAGAAAGTATAATTCACTTGTATACACAAACTTACAAATAAGTCATAGACAAACTGAATATAAAATGAGATTGGAGAAAATACAGTTTACGAATAAAATATGTACATCTTATCTTCAAACTTTTATTATTGCTTAACAAATAATCAATGCCTGTCTACTTCTACGTGCATTTTGCACTTCCAAAACCTTCGACTACATCATGTCTTTGAATTGGACACTCTTGTTTTCAGTAGTAAACGTACGGGCGACACTCCATTGCATAATACTTATAAGTTGTGTTACGAATAGTACCACCCACTGCAATATGATTTGATTTTTAAAAACAGATTCTAATATTTTTACATATAACAACATATTCTAAATACTCGTTTAGAATAGACAATCATTATCAAATCTTGTCTTTATGATGTGTATTGTTCGTAATTATTTATTATAACTGTGATCCAGCTATCGCAGACAGACAGGCAGATACAACACAGAATTTCGAACGTAAGTACATCAGTTCAGGTTCCCTTGCCCCATCAGCACAGAGACGCAACTGTCAGTTCAAACCCAACAGCGATATCAATAAAAGAAGTATTAGCAGCAATAGAGAAGATTAGGGAGCAAAGATATGATTCGAGAAGTATAATTCAGTAAGATAAATTTAGAAGGAGAAAGATAAAGATTATGACGAATTGAGGTTAGAATTCTAAAGAACACAAAGAGTGGATGCACCTGCGCCAGTGTGAACGATTCTGAGCCATGTCGTTCAAGGTCTCTAACCATTGGTGACTTTCGTCTCGCGGACCTCAACCAGATAGCCTACATCTACCAACATGACTCAGTCCACTTGTCCACTTGTGACTTCATGCATTCCTGCCATGTTTTCGTTTGGCCGGCCCTAGCTTTCTTCCGACCTACTCCTACACTGCAAAACATAGCTCGTCGCGGCAGTCGGTGGTTAGCCATACGTAACACATGTCCTAACCACCTCAACTGATGAAGTTTCACTACTTCATCTATTGATTTGCCATCCTTACCTAGAATTCGTTTCCTAACGACAGCTATCGCAACGGAACAATAAAATACATATTCATAAAACATAGGAATCTTTAACAGATGAGTTCAATAATTGATTTTTTTGAATTAGTTTCAAAGAAAACTTTAATCCCAATACACAAAGCTGGCCTTAGTTGTATGTGAGAAGTGTGGTGGATGAAAAAAACAAAACTGAACCTAAGCGTTTCGATTCACATGGTACGTTATTTCAGCAACCTGTGTGACATACTCCATGTTCAGTTTTAAGGAAACAAATCGATTTGATTTTATTCTTGCTGGAGGTGCCTTGGAGGACGTTAACACCTTCACATATCTGGGCAGCATCATCGACAACCAAGGTGGATCCGATGCAGATGTGAGGGTGCGGATTGGCAAAGCAAGGGCTGCGTTTCTACAGTTGAAAAATATCTGGAACTCCAAACAACTTTCAAACAAAACCAAAATCAGGATTTTCAATACAAATGTCAAGACAGTTTTACTGTATGGAGCGGAAACATGGAGAACTACGAAAGGCATCATCCAGAAGATACAAGTGTTTATTAACAGCTGTCTACGCAAAATACTTCGTATTCGTTGGCCAGACACCATCAGCAACAACGTACTGTGGGAGAGAACAAACCAGAAAACAGTGAAGGAGGAAATCAGAAAGAAGCGGTGGAAGTGGATAGGACACACATTGCGGAAAGTACATAACTGCGTCACGAGACAAGCCCTCACATGGAACCCTCAAGGAAAAAGGAAAAGATGAAGGCAAAAAAACACATTACACCGAGAAATAGAGAAAAATATTACAAGAACGAACAAACATTGGACAGAACTTGAGAGGGAAGCCCAGGACAGAGTTGGTTGGCGAAAACTGGTGGGCGGCCTATGCTCCATTGGGGATAACCGGCGTAAGTAAGTAAGTAAGTAAGTAAGTACTATCACGGTCAAACTGATCGTTTCAATGAAACTACTCTTAATGTTGAACATACCTATTACACACATAAATGAGTGTACTAAGCAAGGGTAAAACGCAAGTGTACCTTTTTCATGTGTACTTTTTTTCAATTATTCAATGATATCATCGACTGTTCAATAAAATTTCAATTGTACACGATGAACCAAGGCATCAATTCATCACTGCAATATAGTAGTATCTTAATTGACTTAACTGAAAAATTTATAGGTACAGCAGTCAAATGTTTATATATGAAAATTTCATCTGCATTACAAACAAACGAAATTCAATTATATACAAGTACATTTTATTAAAAAAAAAAAAAAGCCATTTTCGAAACTTACAACTGTTCTGTCATCAATAACCAAATGTTCATTATTGTCACCAGTATGATGATGATGATGATGATGACTACTTACATCTTCTTCTTCTTCTCTTCTTCCATTTCCTCTATGACAACCACCACCAACATCATCATCACCACCATGCTGTTCATTACTACTACTATTGTCATCACTATCACTCGACGAACCAATACTGCTACTGCTAATTTCACCACCGAATACATCACGATGATCGATCGCGTATGCTCGTCCACCTAAAAAAAAAAAAGCGAGATGAAAATCTTTAAAGAAACAAATTCATATATTCATACGAAAAAATTAAGCGAGCCTGATTTGCTGGTAAGGGACAATAAACCTGATGTATTTGTGTGAAGGTTCATGAATTCTCGTTGTTGATATTTACGATTGCAACGAATAAGACATCGTGAGCAGTTGACTTGCTATGAGAAGGCAATGAATAGTGCTCACCTGGCAGTTTTGATGCATGCATTTCGAGAATGAAAGGCAAACTCTACTGACTGATGACCGTACAACAGCATTTCGATGCTATTCTTGATACTATGATGAAATCAATACCACTAAAGTATCATTTATTCTGAGTAACAACCTCTTTTGTTGGGGTTCGGCGAGATGATAATAATCGATGGTTAGAGACCTTGAATGACGACATGGCTCAAAATCGTTCGCAATGGCGCCGGTGCATTTATTCTTTGTGTTCTCTCAAATCCTAATCTTCTGGATTCTTCAACACCTCAAGTTTTTACTTTCTAAATTGAATCATACTTCATGAATAATATCTAATTCTAACCTCTCCGATTACTTCTAATACCTTTACTACCTCTTCTACTACTATTGGATTTGAATTGACAATTACATGTCTCTGTGCTGATGTGGTATGGCGACATGAACTGATGTACGTACTTACGTACGAAGTTCTACGTTGCAACTGACTGACTGACTGACTGAACAACCTCTTTTGAAACATAGAAATACACACATAAGATTTTCTCATTTCTACACAAAAACAACCAACACTACAAAACTCTTAAACTAGAATCATAAATAATAAACTTTTACATCAATGTAATCTTGAGTCTACATATTAGATGGTGATACATTCTAAATTGGAAAGTTTCCTTGTGAAATACAGACTGCTGACCAAGTGCACTAACTATAGCAAAACACACTTAAAAACCCCATTCAGGTGAATACTTACAACAGCGCGTCATTACAATTCAGAAAATCACCAACTTTTTGATGAAATAAAACGACCTATTCTAATCACTATGTCGCTGGTAGTTCTAAACGTGTGCTGCTGAGGTGTTCCATATTAGGAGGAAACGGCCATTCATTGCCACCACCAAGGATGGCCTAGATTAAATCAGTTAATAATTATAACGACAAAAAAAATACAGTCAGCTTAATAAAAATCGTGTCTTCACTGGTGACTAGCTGTAAGCTGAATACCGGAAAGACATGACCTGTACAGTTCGATCCATGTCCGGCAGGTAACAGTTATGCACGACAGGCAATGGATCAAGGTTATATATACAACACTTTGGACTGATTGAGGTCAGATAATAATGCCAACTGATGCCTATCGCGATGACCGAGCTATATCGGCCAGAACATATGTTTCTGAAGGTCCTACTATGCCAGGCAGATCAACTGGAGATAAATGAAACTAAAAACAGCGACTCAAGGTTTGAGGACGACGTCGTACTGCCCACTGTAGAGAGGTGTGACAACAGTAAGTTGTTTCTCTCAGACAACTAGCATCTACAGCGATGATGCTTACTCGGTAGGAAGGAAAGGGTTAGAAGAGAGCGACCCTAAAATTGTTACACTTCTTCTTACCTTACGGATTTCAGTCTCCAGGAATGAAGGCTTTCTGAACAAGAACGGAGCTAACATATTAAATAGTACCCATAAAAAAGGCCGTATGTGCCAGTAAGGGCTTTTATCAAGAGCGGAGATAATAATCTAAAGGCCATTCATAAAAAGGCCGTCAAGTCACCAGCATCGAGCAATTATCCTTTGGCTTCTGCGGTCACACCCTCATACCCGTAAGAGCACGCGACATTATATCGGACACAAACAAATCCTTCCTATAACCCCTAACATCTCTCTTATCTCCACAACTAACTAACTCATCTGACACTCCTTTTCTCACCCGATACCGCTAATGCAAATTGATGCAAGTTCACATTAGAATCTCGCACACCATCGGAGGTATGCTGCGTGTCGGAAACGCCCACACAGGATCCTAGTAAAAATATTAGGAAGACACATAAAAGAGGAGAAGAAGCGACAAGAAAAGCAACAACAACAACAACTAACAAGTAACACTTAAACATCATACCATCATCATCGTCGTCGTCAACATCATCATCATCGTCGATTTCATCATCAGCTGTTCGCTGTCCATTGTTTAATTGATGAATATGATGATGATGATGAATTTCATTATTCGATAAATTTGATTGATTATTAATATTATTATTGCTATTGCTATTGCTATGATTGTTGTGATTGTTACTATCAGTATTTAATCGAATTTTTTGATGCGCTGGTGGATCAGTCCATATCACTTCCCATCTATAATAGGAAAAGAAGTAGTCAATCAATGCATGCAGATAGACAGACAGAAAGACAGATACAACAACACAGAACTTCGTACGTGAGTACATCATATAAGGCTGCCATACCACATTAGCACAGAGATGTAATTGTCAGTTCAAATCCAAGAGTGATAGTGATAGTAGAATTATTAGCAGCAATAGAGAAGATTAGGGAGCAAAGATATGATTCGAGAAGTATAATTCAGTAAGATAAATTTAGAAGGAGAAATATATAGATTATAAGGAATTCAGAAGGTTAGAATCAAAAAGCACACACACCTGCGCCATTGCAAACGATTCTGAACCATGTCGTTCAAAGTCTCTAACCATTGGTGACTATCGTCTCGCGGACCTCAACCAGATAGCCTACATCTACCAACATGACTCAGTCCACTTATCAGTGACTTTATGGAATTCTGCCATGTTTTTTATTTGGCCGGCCCTAGCTTTCTTCCAATCTACTCCTACACTGCAAAACATAGCTCGTCAAGGCAGTCAGTGGTTAGCCATACGTAACACATGTCCTAACCACCTCAACTGATGAAGTTTCAATACTTCATGTATTGATTTGCCATCCTTACCTAGAGCTCGTTCCCTAACGACGGCATTGCTTATACGGTTGTCCCAGGATATACCAGCGATGCTTCGAAGACAACTATGATCGAAAACCAGTAACCTTCGAATATCTTATACTCTCACTAGCCATGTTTCACAGCCATAAAGTAAGATGGAGTGAATTACTGCACAGTACGCTCATCCTTTAGTCAGCGAAGGGATATCTTGCCAACGCCATAGGTAACGCAGGTTGGCAAAAGCCAATCGAGCCTTCTGTATCCGTGCTGAGATTTAGTCAGTCACCAGGCCATCAGCACTGATGAGACTACCCAGATAAGTGAAGCCATCAACACGTTCGACTACTTCACTCCCTATCACTAGTTCAGGTGCCGATACAACCCAATCGTGAAGCAACATTTTGCATTTTGACGGGGAGAACAGCATCCTGAATACGCTTGCATTGTTGCTTAGGGTAGTGTCAGAAGACTCTGCATTTTTTTATTCTCTGTGTGTAATATATACAGAGAATAAAAAGATTATCAGAAAAAAAAAATTTAATTCGTTGGTTATGAAATTAGGATTGATTGTTTTCAAATATTGTTATCAAGAATTATTACTAATATAATGGATAGTTGTTCTATTGATATAAAAGTGCATCGAAATAGTTTTGCAATACACAAAACTATCTTAGGATTATTGGAGTAAGCAATATGCTATTGTTAGGAAATGAGTGTTAAAGTAGAGAAGTTATTGTTATTATATCAGTCGAAGTGGTTAGGACATGTGTGATGAATGACTCAACCACCGACTGATTCGACGAGCTATCTCTTTTGGTAGCGTAATAGTAGTCAGTAGGTTAGAAGAAAGCTAAGGGGCAACCAAACTGAATTATAGCACAAATCTATGAAGTCACTAGCAGCAAATGAACTGAATGATGTTGGTATGTGTAGATTACTTGGTTAGCGTCCATGATATGATAGTAATCGATGGATGGATAGAGACCTTGTGTTGTGCACGAAAACTCAGATGAGGACATCAACATTTATATTTAAGCGAATTTAACAGAATTGTTAAGCATATGTACAAAACCTTTCCGTCAAATCATCATTTGTAAACTAATCCTTATTTGTTTCAGATTTCAGTTCACTTTACGTTACCTACAAATCGCCTTCTGTTCTCTCATTCTTTCCTTCTCGATCTTTTGCTCTCAGACATTTGATTTCCGTTTGATATCATATACTACTACTTATGTGAACATAAGCAGCGTACACAACACTTGGATTACATGTTTCAAAATCGTTTGCAATAGTGCAGGTGCATTCATTCTTCGTGGTCTCTCAAATCCTTACTGATTGATGTGAGCTAACCAGTCAAGGGCTAATACTACAAGATCTGACATACAGCTTTAATTCATACGGCAGTAGAGTAACCTTAAAAACTTTTACTATTCCTGCAATTGTGTAATTTGAACTGACCATGGCGTAGTGAAGTAATGTTCAGAAACGTAATCGCATGGTCACCAGTCACCACCAGTCATAGGTTCACATATAATTTGTTCTCTTTCAGAATGCTGGAAATCACGTGAACTAGCTGAACCCCCATCGAAATCCAAGAAAGAGAAAAACAATAACTAGACAACAGTCTTGTATTACTGTGGTGTGAGCTACTTATAAGTAGTATATGACGTGAGTGTCAACGTAATGTCTGGCTGCATAATATGGGGGAAGATCAAGAAAGGAAGAGTTAGAAAACAATGAAATTTGTATGAAACGCATGAATAGTGACAGTGGATTGATGTTTGGCAACAGGAACAGTCCAGTTCGATAGGATGAACTGATATTTTGCAAATGAACAATTTACGATAAGGTTTTCCGATTTTACTGAGTAACTCTGTAATTTTCGTTAAATACAATTCGGTTGCCCCACCTGTGTTCTCGTTCACTACATTACTACTATGTATCCACAACCAATAACAATAATTCGACTAGTGTAAACATGCTAATATCTGTGATTTGTGATCATGTCACTCCAAACGGCATGCATTTCGTGCGTTATCTGCTGACATTGTGATTCGGTAAAGAAAACAAGGGCAGTCAGTTGATAATGACACGGCACTAGGGTATAAAAGGTAACCGTATAGGAGCAGGAGCATGACCTTTGTTTTGTGGAGTAGGAGTAGGTTGGGAGAAAGCTAGGGGTCGCTAAACCAAAACATGACAAAAATGCATGAAGTCATTGACAAGTGGACTGGAGCATGTTGGAAGGTGTAAACTACCTGATTGGGGTCCACAAGACGATACTAACCGATTGTTGGAGACCTGGAATGACATGGCTCAAAATCGCTTGCAATAGCGCAGGTGCATCCACTCGTTGTGTTCTCTCAAATCCTAATCTTCTGCATTCGTCAACACCTCTACCTTTGTCTTTCTAAACTTATCTCACTGAACTATACTTCTTGAATATTATCTTCAGTTCCTAATCTTCTCCATTACCAGTAATACTTATACTGTCTCTACCACTATGGGATTTGAATTGACAATTAGATCTCTGTGCTAATGTGGTATGGTAGCCTGAACTGATGTACTTAAGTACGAAGTTCTACGTTGTAACTGACTAACTGACTGACGTATTTTGTTAGTAAACTGCTTCTTCTCTAAATACTCTACTTACATACAACTAGTGTTAACGCCTATGTTCACCACCAGTAGTAGTAGTAATAATAGTAGTAATGAAGGCGCGGACAGGCGAACCAATTCAATAAAATCTACAACTCAAAACAGCTACCGACAACCAACTCCAAAGTCACATAGTTCAATACAAATATCAAGACACTTCTATTGTATGAGGCGAAAACTCAGAGAACCACCAAAGTTATCAACTACCTACTGCGGCAGATAACACATCAGATTAGGGCTGAAGAAGCCCTCAGTTGAAATCCTCAATGCCAATGAAAAAGAGCAGGAGTAAAAAGAATACATCACGCCGAGAATTGGAAGAAGACATGAGAAGAATGAACAGTGATTCGGTAGAACTAGATGGAAAGACCTAGGACAGAGTAGATTGGAGAATGTTGGTCGGTAGCCTATGCTCAGGTGTAAGAAATTAAACAAGCAGATTAAAAATAGAAGTAACAGTACGTTTCATATTCTATTGTAATGTATGCTGTACTAAATCTGGATGTGAGATACATACTAAGCCCCTCTCAGACTGACTACTTGAACGAGACAACCAAGGGTGGTAGAGTGGAAGTCTTCTTAACTACCGAATCATATAAATACACATTCATATATATATATATATATATATATATATATATATATATATATATATATATATATTCATCAATAAAAGGTCTTCTCATATGGCCACTACTGATATTGCTACACTAAATCAATATTCCACTACTCTAGCTACGTCTACAACTCAACTGAGATCAACGTTACACACGCACACACACACTGAAAAATGGTGACACACACACAAAAAATTAATAAGAAATAAATTATTTAATTAGAATAAACTAGAATAATATATATAAAATATATAAATATCTTTTACTTGACATTAACAGCTTGTAAATCAGCGCGTAATAATTGTTTAACTTCTTTTTCAATTTTAGGCATATCAACAAAACGTTTTCGACGTGTTTTACGAAATCGACGATGTAAAACATTTTTCAACGGTGGTGTTATCCCATGAAGAAATTGAAATTCTCGATTTTCATGACTAAATTAGGGGGGGGGGAAATATGCAAATTATAAACTGAATCAAGATAGCAGCATTACCATTGAAACTCAAAAATTTAAAAGGAGATAAAGCGTAAATTGATCTCATCAAATACTAATGAATGTCTACAACGATTGATCATCGTGACTGAGCACATTCTAACCATATAGTCTGCAACCACTACGATGGGTATGAGGGCGGTTGTCACTTCCCGGCTGACCACACCGTGGAAGGTTGTTTCTTGAGGAACCTGAAAAGGAAGATAGATTAGTGTTGGTGCGTGACCGCAGAGCCCAAGGGACAACTGGTTGAGGCCGGTCACGCACGGCCTTTTTATGAAATGTTTTTTGAGGATTAGCTCCGTTTTTAAAGGCCCTTAGTGGGCACCCTTACCCAAGGAGACGGAAATCCGTGAGTTAGGGGAGGTGTGACATTTTTAGGGCCGACCTTTTCTAACCCTTCCTTCCTTGTGAGAAGGCATCATCGCTGCAAATGCTGGTTGTCCGAGGGAAACACCTTACTGCTGTCACACCCCTCTGCAGTCAGCAGTACGACTTCGCCCTCAGACCTTGGGTAGCTGCTTTTAGTCTCATCGTTCTCCAATCGACCTGTCTGGCATGGTAGAACCTTGAGGAACATATGTTCCAGCCAGTATAGCTCGGTTGGGTCATCACGATAGGTAAGCCCGACCACCACGTCAAGGTAGCAGCTACGGTCGGGAACCACTACCATGACTGATAACAGATCTTAATTTGTTCTACCTCTCTCTATACGGGATAAAGAAAACACAGGAATGAAGTTCAGCTTGGCTGGACATTGAAATAAGATGAATAATATTTCTTTCAAAGGAATAGATGCGGTTGAAGAATCAAAAAAAATTTACAAATGATGCTTCATTCTAGATCTACAGTAAGTGCAATAGCGTCCCTTCAATATCAGCCAACTTTCTAGGTTGCGGCAAACGATGGCTGGCCATACGCAACAGATGTCTCAACTAGCTGAGTTGATGAAGTTACACAATCGTATTTAATAATATTCTGAGTATAACCTCAGTATTGCTCACCACGCAGTCACAACATACATGACCAATGCTTTAGGGCATTTATGATCAAATGTTAGTAACCTAATGGTATAACATGGCTCAATGGGCTCAAAAGCATGCACAAAGGTTAAAAGCGAGATTCTCCAGCACCATATGACATGCATCAATCAAATCACATTTCACGGAGAGGCTTTAGGTGATGTATGAATAATCTCTACATATCTGAGCAGCATCATTGAATGCACATGTGAAGGCATGGATTGACAAAGCTACGGCAGTATTTCTACAATCGAAGAACATCTGCAACTCTAAACCCCTGTCGACCAACACCAAAGTCATAATTTTCAATACAAATGTCAAGACAGTCCTACCATATGAAATGGAAACTTGGAAAACCACAAAGGTCATTGTCCATAAGATACAGGTGTTTATTAACATTGGTCAACGCAGCAAAATACTTCGGATTCGCTGACCGGGCATCAAAAGCAAAGGCACGAATTAGGAAACAGAGCTGGAGATGGATAGAAAACGCACTGGGGAAAGCACTCAACTGCGTCACAAGACAAGACCTCACTTGGAATCCTCAATATCAAAGGAAAAGAGGAACACCAAAGAACACATGAAGTCTAGAATCGGAAGCAAACATCAAAAGAACGAACAACAATTGGAAACAGCCAGAAAGATAATCTCCGGAAAGAGTAGGTTGGAGAATTCTGGTTGGTGCTTGACTGGGAGTAGCAGGCGTAAGTAATCATCCAGTTTTAAGAAAACGGTACTAGGTAAGGATGGCATACTAACTGACTAAGAGGAGAATCTTTGTTAGTTGGAGTGGTTGAAAAATGTGCTACCTATGCTCAACCATCGACTGACTCGACAAACGATGTTGTCTGATGTAGAGACGAGGTGGAATAAAGTTACGATCGGCCAAACCAAAACATAGCACAAATCCGACATGTGCATTGAGCCATGTCGGTAAGTGTAGACAACCTGGTTGGGGTGCGCGAGACAATAGTAACCGATGGTTAGAGACCTTAAATGACATGGCTCAAAATCATTCGCAATGGAACAGATGCACCATTCTTTGCCTTCTCTCAAATACTAATCTCCTTAATCTCTCATGCTTTTTTTCTCTTGTTAAATTCATTTCACTGGATTATACTGCTCGAATCATATCTCCGATCTTTAACCTCGATTACCACTATTACTTCCACTATTATGCAATTTGAATTGACGATTCCATCTCTCAGTGCTACTGTGGTATAACTACTTGCACTGACGTACGTACGTACGTACCTTCTCTAATCAAAGGACGAGTGAACTGTGCAGCAGTTCGCTCCGTTTTCCTATATGGCTGTAAAACATGGCCAGTGAGAGTAGAAGATATTCGTAGGTTACTGGTTTTCGATCATAGGTGTCTCCGAAGCATTGCTCGTATATCCTGGGACAACCGAGTAAGCAATGCTGTCGTTAGGAAACGAGTACTAGGCAAGGATGGCAGATCAATCGATGAAGTGGTGAAACTTCATCAGTTGAGGTGGCTGGGACATGTCTTGCGTATGCCAAACCACCGACTGCCTCGACGAACTTTGTTTTGTAGTGTAGGAGTAGGTTGGAAGAAAGTTAGGGGCGGCCAGACCAAAACATGGCAGAAATCCATGAAGTCATTGACGAGTGGACTGAGCCATGTCGGTGATTGTCGACTACCTGGTTGAGGTCCGCGAGATGATAATAATCGATGGTTAGAGACCTTGAATGACATGGCTCAAAATCGTTCACAATGGCGCCGGTGCATTTATTCTTTCTGTTCTCTCAAACCCTAATCTTCTGGATTCTTCAATACCTCTAGTTTCGACTCTCTAAACTTTTCTCACTGAATCATACTTCTTGAATAGTATCTTCTAACCCTAACCACTCCGATTACTTCTAATTCCCTTACTACCTCTACTACTATCGGATTTGAATTGACAATTATATCTCTGTGCTGATGTGGTATCGCAACATGAACTGATGTACTTACGTACCAAGTTCTACGTTGCAACTGACTGACTGACTGACGTACGTACCTATGCACAAAGTTCTACTGACTGACAGATAAAGCACAAATCCAGTTTGATAGAAAAATGAAACAGGAAAAATGTATTACAGTATTCACCTAATATCAAATGTTCTATTGCGTGAACCAGGACGATTGTCTAAATATGCAGCAGTCCCACGTACAGGCCCAGTTTCATCACCTTGAGTACATATCATCATTTGACAAATATTAGCTGTTTTATAAAAATTCTTTCTATCTGTAGTCTTTAAAGATTCTATTATGCATGGAAGATCCATAATTTGACCTTGATAGACTTGACCATTATATCGAACAATTGTATGTCGCATATCAGGTTTAAATTCTATGGTAAAATTTTCCTAAGAAAATTTTTAAAGAATATGTTCATCATTTATGACTTATTGAATGAAAATAACAAAAATAGATCAAATCTTTCAAAATAATTAAATTTTTGAACAAAGAAAAACGCTTGACATTAAAGCAAATTGACTGAAGTTGCTAAAATTCAGTTAGTTAGTCATAAGTAACATATAATCTAGTACTTACATGCATCAGGATCAGTTGCCCTATTATATTAGCACAACAAGAGAGTATTTTCAAGACGAATCTCAGGGAAGCAGAAGTAACAACAACAGTAGTAATAGTGGTAGTAGTATTAATAGTAGTAGAAAAGATTAGGCACAGAAAATATGATTTGAGAAACAATAAAGTCGCACAATAGAGAAGTATAAAACACAAGATCTAAAAGAGTGAACGTATATGCGACAATGCACTCGATCCCCGTTCATGTCATAAATGTCTCCGACTCTGCTTGATAAGCATGATGCTATTGTGTAAACAAAAGTGACTTACTGTTTACCTGCATGGGGATATAACACATTCTAATTCATGTGTTACGAAATAAAAGCAATTGAGAAGTAGTATAAATTTCACAATCCCGAAATGGTTCACCACTCCTTATTTTCCTTTCAACATCAGCCAACTTTCTAGGTTGCGGCTGACCATACGCAACAGGTGTCTCAACTAGCTGAGTTGATGAAGTTACACAATCATATTTAATAATATTCTGAGTATAACCTCAGCATTGCTCACCACGCAGTCACATACATGACCAATGCTTTAGGGTATTTATGATCAAATGTTAGTAACCTAAGAGTATAACGTTTTCTCCTTTACGCAGAATTATACTGTGGAAAAATGAGAGTGTTCAATTGGAGGACTAGCTATATCCCTTAACTCTAGTTAGTCGATATCTCAATATGCAACAAATAAAAGACATATATACACACGTAGAAATTATTGAGTAACAAATGAATCTATAACAGTATAAACATGATTTGTAAGAAATGTTTTCCTGTGTAAATGCTTTTTCATCAATGTCTATGGACAGTTTAGGTAAATAGTTCAATGTAGTGCCTGCCGATAACCTCTTCTCTCAGAAAAATATTATCAATGACAAGAGTAATAGGCACCTAGAGTATGACTAGATGCGAAGATGTGGACAAATCACATGATATTGAATCTCTGTACAAAGCATAAAATGAAAAGAATGCAACACACTTAAGCAGAATGTTACTGACAGTAATACATTTTCATTGACAGAATTTATCGGATCAATAAATGAACATCTCACTAAATCAAAGCTGATCAAACACATACAGGATCACAAAAAATTAAAGAATTGACAAGATGACTAATCACGAACATTAAAAATGATATATTTTCGTAATACATATGACAATATTACAATTAGTAGTCTTATGACAAACCTTGAAGGGTATTCCGGCATCGATATCAGCCGCTAGATTTTCTGCAGCAACACTATCTGTAATCCGAAAGATGAACTGCTGTTCCAAGTCATAATTGGAATCTAATGGCAGTTTCCCAGTCATATTTAGTATGTAGCGTACGCCTCTAGCGACGCTCTGTACATTCAATAGCCAATATCTATTACATCAGCTAGTATAAACTAACTGGTTTGTTTTCTCTCTATTATTGTTCTTTCAGTACGGTTCCATGTATCTTGTACTTTTCAATGGATTGAGTCTAGCTACTTGACTGCATCAATTCTAGTTAGTTAGCAAAGATTGATGAATTTGTATTCCGTGATTTGATTGAGCACATTTGTTTCAAGGCAGGAAACTTTCTGAGTACCAATAGTCATTACGTTACCAGGCCGGAGATCAGTGACCTGCAATGTGGAGAATAATAAACGGAAAATTCTAATGCTTATACGAAGAATACAGAACTAGTTAAATAAATCGTTAATTCAACATCGTTGCTATTGATTGTTGCAGCTATCTAACACTTCAACCGTATCTTCTCTTCACAGGATTCTCCTCGTTAGACAGTGAATATGGATGCGTTACTTGATAGTTTGGTAAGTATTCTTACTTATTCATAGTTTTAGTTTCAGAGATTCTTGTTTTGATTAGCAGATTATTAAATTTTTCAAATCGTTCAAAAATGTAGCTAAACGCTGTTTGATTTTAGGTTCAGGTAATTCAAAGACATTTTTTTAGTAATAGCTCACCGGGGTCCATGATCATTCAGTAATCAGTGCCTGAAAAACGTTCCTATTTATACAAGAGAAAAGGGTTAGACTCACACACTAAGAACGCTAGCGTTCTGAGTATATTCTACCACTGAAATCAAAGTGTGAAACTTATGTCCAAGAAGTAAGGCTTAGGATAAAGAATATAATTGTGAACTAATGTCAGGGTTTTCACTACCAAGCAACTTCACTTATGATGCAGTAAGCCTTAGCATATTTCCTCCAGTAAAGTTAAAAATTAGGGGTGAAAATATGTTAAATTCGGTACACATTAGGCCTGAACGACATTCCGGCATCATAACGGATGTCAGCTCATGACAAAAACCCTGACCATAATTTGTGACTTTACGTCCCCATCTTATCTGTCCACTAATCTACAACCCTGGGCTAACCACAGTGAGGTGCAGAATTTTCTCCGCAAATGTCATCCGTCATCGGGCATTAGTCTACTCCATGATATCCTGGTCGAATCCTCAAATTAACTACAAACTGTAGATGGTAATAATCGTTCAAACTGTCCAGTCTTAGTGTGGTAAATATATTGGTTTCTCTCCGTCTGTTCATTTTTCAACACACCACTATTCTCTAGTTCAAGTTCACTGGCACAATCTATCCTCCAACAGTTTTCTGACTCAACTCTCCACTAATTGCATTTAGTTACACTTAGTTTCTCTTTTTCCCCTTACGTAAGTTTTATCTAGCTGTGGTTGAAGTCCGTCTATCAATCCATTTGCGAACAGTATTTAGCAGTGTAAGCTTTATAGGCAGCTATTGTCAAATGTTATTTCCTTGAACTTGTCGAATTGAAATTTCTTGTTTAATAAAATAGCTGAAAATCAATCGTAGTTTTCCAGCTAATTGAAGCTATATTACGCCGACTAAGGCATTGAATCCGATCAGAGGCATAAATCAGGAGACTAGCTGCGATTGAAGTTAAAGTATATTCGTTAGCGATCTCGTGATATCGACAAAGTATAAAGATCTGAACACAGTACACAAGTAAGACTACCAAGCGTACTTGAGCAAGCCTAAAGTCAAGGAAGGAAGGTAGATTTGTATTTTGAGTGCAATTAAACAAACTAGTACAATAAAAAAATCGCTTGTACACTTTGTTATGACAATGAATATTTATATTAAGCCAGTCGTGTTCTCTTCATAAAACTGGATTCACTACAGTTTCTTGGATATATTTTCTTCTTGTCTTCTAGGAACTAAGTTTCAATGTTATACCCCTATTACCATTTTCCTATTTCGATCCTTTTAGAATTGTTAGCAGGTCCAGAATATATGCAAAAGTCGAATGAGGATTTGTGAGACTTGTTAAACATATACGTCTCGGGAGCGAAATTCGCGTTTTAAGATTCAGGTTTTCAGGAGTTCATTATCAAAAACCGATATTTCATCTAAAATATCCTATGTTAAGGCTGCAGTGAACATTTTTGTGCCTACTGACCAGCAGTGCTGGTAGAAATTTTACCAACTTTCTTTTGTATTTTGTGTTAATAAAAATGATTTGAGATCGCATTACCTGTTTACGCATAGCATTTTCAGGTGTTGAAAAAAGCATATAACTAATCGCCAGAGGGTGAGAATAAGTAATAAGTCTTTCTTGAGTCCATTTGATTGTCATCATAGAAGGAGAATTAATATTTAATGCAGCTCATAATATAGTGAACTACTTCACACAAACGTCTGCATACTCGAACGTGTGTATCGAAAATTGTGTTTGCCGACTATTCAGATGAAAGAAATTCAGTAGACTACAAATCTGCAACGGTATACCTTAAATTCAAATACTTTTACTCACAAACTATTCCTTCTTCAACTCTTAATTGCTCCAAGCTTTCATTACAATCCATTGTAGCTTCAATATGAATGTTTCAAATAATTGTCTTTTATCAATTCATTAGAAAGAGGGTGGCTTAGTGGTTAAGGAATTTAGATTTTAGCTACTAAGTCGTTGGTGTAGAATCTGTTTTGAAGGCTTTGTTTTTGTAAAATCCCTCCAAGTATATATATTTGTGTTATGATCTGAATGACTCTTTCTATTCGATATTTTGGTACTCTATCTGGTCCCATTTTTGGGTTTTATCATTTGTATCTTTTTAGTGTTTCTATATCTTGTACTTATATTGAGATTTCTATGTTTCCTTCCGAACTACATATGTGTTGTTTAAAATCGATACTTAATATGGCCACAGCAATTTTTGGATTTGATACTCTTGCAGCAGCTCGTTGCAACTAACTGGAAGCACTTATTCTTCCAGTATCGGAGCTTAATGTTGTGATCAGAAACTCGAAGGTGTAATATTGTTTTGGTAATTTTCTGTATTTCCTTTTTTGATTGAAAATAAAACCGTTCTTTCCCAGGTTTGTCATTTTCGGACTTGGACTGGGCGAGAAGCGTGTGAAATTACACCTTTTGAATTCAGAGTAATAAATATTTCTATAGTCGAGAAGAACGTTGCTCCACCAATTTTGGTTTAGGCAACCCAATATTTTATCATTGCCCCCACAACTAGTGTGGCTCAAAGTACACGAATAGGTTTCTAATCAGTGCATGGAATAAAATTTTCATTTTCTGAAATATATCATTCTATGTGTTCGTTTGTAACTTTATTCATATTCAACTATAAAATGCAATGTTAATTCGTTCGTAATCAACGAAAAAGTTTATTTATTGAAAAATATATTTTGGTACAGTGCACCACACAAATCATCACATTCGTGTGCGGACTGTGGTGCTGCACTAATGCCGAAATCGATGCAAGTGGTTTTAACTCTAAACAACTTCACAAGCCCTTCCGTTTGAGCAACACCAAAAGATACACTCTCGTGGTAGCCTGTGACCCATAATTGGGTTACTTTTTCATTTTTACTCTCAGGAAACTGAAGCTCATGTGCAGCGTTGGTTTGAAACCAGGGTTTCCAATTCTTCTACTGATTGAAATCTCCCTACACGTCAACTAGGCTTAGGCCGGATAATCGCGTCTCGTTTTATCAATCCCGAAAAGAACACACTCTCCGCGAGAAAACAATGGATGCGAGTTTTTTGGTAGTGGTTATACTCGCGTAGTAATATCAGGCCATTTTCAGGGAAAGACCAGTTTCTTTCTACCCTTGACTGTACCAGTGCATTCCGGAGCGCACAAACAAAACTCATGAAAGAGTGCAGTAATCATGAGGAAACAGTGAGGTTAGAATAAATACATATTTGTATGACATTGACGTGTTGATAACAGTTTCATTGGTTTTTAAATAGACATCAGTTTGCGCACCTGTTTTTCTGTTCATGTTTATTTATGGCATATATATTATTACATGCATTTATTTATTGTTTGTGACTCATCACTAACATTTCCTTTAGATGGCGTGAACAGATCAACTGGGTTTCGAATAAGCAAATTGTAACAGTGTTGAAATCACAATATATAACGTCATCATAAGGTTCTGTTCTCTTCCAGTTGCAGGGCGACCATGGATAAACGTCTTGGAGGGAGAAAAGCAGACTTTGCAGACGCTGAACTTGCAATATTATTCGTAAAACTACTTCGTAAATAAGCCACTCCTTTTGTACAAAACTAGCAACTTGCAGTTTTCAAATAAAATGCCATGGCCACCACTATGTGTTATCTCCTGATGTGAAGTGGGTGGTTAACTTTGTGTGTTATGGTTTCAGGTCTTCTCTGCTCTTCATTAACTGCTGATTACACGTGCTAGAACTGGTAATGTAGGTGTTAACAGCAAAACGTGACGAAACCATGATGAAGGAAGCATTCGGTTTCACCCCTCACAAACGTTAAATACTGGAAATTTCATCAGATTATTCTTCATGCAGTTCCGACGTCGGACCAGTTGGAATAACCAAAAAATAAATTCAAGAATATAATTAGGTATTCATAAGTTCTCTGTTAGGGAGGACATTCATTTTGACACAGTCACTAAATAATTTGAAAAAAGCTTTAACGTTAGTGAACAATGTCTTGTCGACCTTATTTAACTGACAGATCTCCTATGCAACAATTGAAGTCCGAAGAATAGTGCTATTGTTTGTTATACTTTGTAGCAAATATTTATTGAACACACATTATCATTATTGTTAATATGCATTCTAGGTTGTTTCCTCGAAAATATATTTTTTCTAAGTATTATCCTATTTTTACCAAAGTATTATTTATCATTCTTATACTTACTGTTATATCTGTCACACCACTATCGATGCATGCATTCAAACTTCTCCCCTGTTGAAATCTAGCTTATTCTCCTTCACAGTAGGTTATTACTGGCGCTGTTCGACCAACGCATCCGTAGTATATTGCGTAGGCAGCTGTTATTCAA